TAAGATTTTATTTATTTATTTGAGAGAGAGAGAATAAGAGAGAGCACATGAGAGGGGGGAGGGTCAGAGGGAGAAGCAGACTCCCCGCTGAGCAGGGAGCCCAATGCGGGACTCAATCCAGTGACTCCAGGATCATGACCTGAGCCGAAAGCAGTCGCTTAACTAACTGAGCCACCCAGGTGCCCCTTTTCTTTCTTATTTTTAAAGTATGTATGTATGTATGTATATATTTATTTATTTCTAAAGATTTATTTATTTAAGAGAAAGAGAGCTCAAGCAAGGGGAGGAGTAGAGGGAAAGGAGACAAGCAGACTCCCACTGAGCAGGGAGCCTGATGTGGGGCTCAGTCTCAGGACTCTGAGATCATGACCTGAGCCAAAATCAAGAGTAGGACGCTTAATGGACTGAGCCACCCAGGCGCCCTTAAAATTTTTATTTAAATTCCAGTTAGTGAACAAGGAGTGTAATATTAGTTTCACATGTAATGTATTTATTTTTAAAATTAACTGACTTCAACTTCTCATAGGCTCTCCTCTCCCTTCTCTCCTATTTAGCTGGGAAATGATGAGTTAAACTTATTAATGCTATCCATTTACTTCCAGTTAAAATGAATTCTGAATCTTACAGATTTTTCTCCTCATTCCATATTCCTGAGGATGACATATAGGTATATTATCATACCTCTTGATTTGCCTGGGACAGTCCTAGTATTTGTCTATTGTTCTGACATGAATTTTAGTAGAACTCCCTTTTACTCTTGGAAAGGTGCCAGTTTGGATAAATGGCCATCCTAAAAATAGGTGTATAGGCATAGGAGCAAGCCAGAGCTGGGGGAGGGGTAAAGTTGGGGCTTTGAGGTTGTCTGGGATCCACAAGGTGTCTCTGGACTTATATTAATTTATGCTGCAGGTTTTAAGACTGGTTCTATACCTGGGCTGGACTCTGCTGAAAAAGTCTTTGGTGAACTTACAGCCTTATTTAGGGCCTGAGATCCTCCATTGCTGATTTTTTTCTGACCTTAGCTTTTGTTGCTACCCAAAACTCCTTTGAAGTCTTCCATCAAGATTTTGACTTGATTGCCTTTCTGCAACCTTTGCGGTAGCGTCACCAGCCACAGCAGCCCTATGTCAAGTATTTTGGTTCTAATTTGAGCACCTTCTGCATTGCCCTTGGTATTTGGAACCTTGAGAACTCATTCACAATCTACAGGTATTAAGGGACTCTCAAGGAGTGCTAACTGAGGTCTCCTCTCTGACTGAATAGTCCAAACTCTTATTCTGATGTTGAGTTTCCACCCTTTGTGGATGTGTCCACTTAGAGTGAGTGTGGCACATGCCCCCTCTGCTTTTGGCTTTCTCTTCACCTCTTCTAATGTCATCTTCATACCTAGTGCTCCCACCTCCAGATTTAGGGCTTGATGGAGAGAAGTCAGTTCCCACTGTCAAACTGCTTATTTCCCAAGGCTCTGTCCCCTTTTAATTAGCAGTAATCCTCTAGGCTAGAAAGCATGGAGCAGGGATTTATCTTTGGTCACATCCTGAGTTTTTTCTATATTCTATAGCTAATAGTAAAATTCTGTGGTTTTCATCTACATATGTTAAGAGGAACTTGAGGAACATAGCAGGATATTAAATGTGGCTTTCAGGTAGTCTTAAAGTTTGAACAGTGACCTCAATAGATGAAAACAAAATAAAATGATGGTTACCCCCATTCCCATCAGCGTAGATTTATCTATGTATGATTTGTAAAAGGTGGAGTCAAAACCCAATTCTTCATGCGTTTGCCCATCAGCAATCTCCAAGCTGTTTTAGAAAAAGCTAAGAGTGCTCTGAAGGGATGAAATGACCAAAAATATATATTTCTTTGATAAGAGTTATTGGTGTTCTATGCAAGGAGAGGGTAGGCTTATTCCTTCACCTCAACACAAGAGAAGAAGCTCTAAGAGGACCATTTGAAAAGTTTAACATATGTCCCCTGGAACTTGATTTCTGACTCACACTTGAAAAGTCTAAAGGCAAGAGGGTCTGTTAGCAGTCTGTTAAATGCCTTGGAATGGCAGAATAAAGAGGAACCTAGATGTACTTTCAGAGTTTGGCACAACAAAGATTTATGCATAATGCCTATAGGTCAGATATACATCCCACAGAAGAGAGTCAGTTATGGATCCTCTTGGAAAGGTTCATGCCCAGTATGACTTCCTGCAAAGGAAAAGGTAAACTCTACTGAAAGAGGCTGAAAGTTCTATCATCAAATGCAAAAGCTGAGGAGATCATAAGTAGCAGCAAGTGAGAGAGCCCCAAGTGTAGGGAAATCTTGTCATTGAACCCTTCAAAATACTTCAGGTTTGAAAGAGTCAGCATTTGGTTATCTGTCAGACCCAGAGGGTATCAATGGCATGTTATAATAGTGTCAGTCAAAATCAAGAAAGACGTTTTATGTCCCTTTCTACAACTCCTTTCCCCTACTCCAATGCCAGAGGAACCCAAAGAGTAGTTCCCAAACAGGGAAGGAAAAAGAACAAGAAATATAGGAGAAACCAACCATGGTTGATTTCCTCACTGCAGGTTTTGAGTCTAATTCTGTCCTAAGTTGGGAAAAGGATGAAATATAAATCAGATAATAAGAGTTTGGTGTTGTGATATTACACTGGGCTTTTTATTACCCCCCAAATGACTGTTTTATACAAGAGAATACCACACAAACAATGGAATACACCTGAAAGTTCATTCTGGGGCAAGAAAGTACTATTTTTGACAAGATTAATTTAAAGAGGAAATAGGATAGAATAAAATTGTTTTTTTTCCTTCATCAATATTTTCTTTTTTTAAAAAAATTAACATAATGTATTATTGGTTTCAGGGGTACAAGTCTGTGATTCACCAGGCTTATATAATACCCAGTGCTCATTACAACACATACCCTCCTGATGTCCTTCACCCAGTTACCCCATCCCTCCACTCCCCTCCCCTCCAGCAACCCTCAGTTTGTTTCCTATGATTAAGAGTCTCTTATGATTTGTCTCCCTCCCTGGTTTCATATTGTTTCATTTTTTCCTCTCTTCCCCTGTGATCCTCTGCCTTGTTTCTTAAATTCCACATATCAGTGAGATCATATGATAATTGTCTTTCTCTGATTGACTTTTTTCGCTTAGCATAATACCCTGTAGTTCCATCCACGTTGTTGCAAATGGCAAGATTTCATTTTTTGATGGCTGCATAATACGCCATTGTGTATGTGTGTGTGTGTATCTCACAACTTCTTTATCCATTCATCTGTTGATGGACATCTGGGCTCTTTCCATAGTTTGGCTATTGTGGACATTGCTGCTATAAACATTGGGGTGCAGGTGCCCCTTCGGATCACTACATTTGCATCTTTGGGGTAAATACCCAGCAGTGCAATTGCTGGGTCATAGGGTAGCTCTATTCTCAACCTTTTGAGGAGCTTCCATACTGTTTTCTAGAGTGGCTGCACCAGCTTGTATTCCCACCAACACTGTAGGAGGGTTCCCCTTTCTCTGCATCCTTGCCAACATCTGTCATTTCCTGACTTGTTAATTTTAGCCATTCTGGCTGGTGTGAGTTGGTATCTCATTGTGGTTTGATTTGGATTTCCCTGATGCTGACTGATGTGGAGCATTTTTCATGTGTCTGTTGGCCATTTGGATGTCTTCTTTGCAGAAATGTCTGTTCATGTCTTCTGCCCATTTCTTGATTGGATTATTTGTTCTCTGGGTGTTGAGTTTGATAAGTTCTATATAGATTTTGGATACTAGCCCTTTATCTGTTATGTCATTTGCAAATATCTTCTCCCATTCTGTTAGTTGTCTTTTGGTTTTGTCAACTATTTCCTTTGCTGTGCAAAAGCTTTTTATCTTGATGAAGCCCCAGTAGTTCATTTTTGCCTTCACTTCCCTTGCCTAAAATTTTTTTTTGCTTACTGAATTCAATTTTTCAATAAACCAGCAATAGGAATTTAGAAAACCATCTTCACACATTTGGTTTTCAACTACATTGTCTTACTGGGGACTCAGAAATCCTGTTTTGGTGGTCAAAGGCTGAGCTTTGATCCTTTGATATTCCTCTTGTAATCCTCTCATACACATTTCAGTAGAATTGGGGGTGCTGATATTTGTAAAAGAGAAAAGGATGGGGTGCCTGGGTGGCTCAGCTGGTTAAGCAGTTAAGGTCAGGTCATGATCCCAGTGTCCTGGGACTGAGCCATGCATTGGGCTCCCTGCTCAGTGGGGAGTCTGCTTCTCCCTCTCCCTCTTCCTCTGCCCCTACCCCCACTCGTGCTCATGTGCTCTCTCTCTCAAATAAATAAGTAAATAAATAAAAACTTTAAAAAGAGAGAGAGAAAAGGATATTTTTTTTTTTAAAGATTTTATTTATTTATTTGAGAGAGAGAATGAGATAGAGCATGAGAGTGGGGAGGGTCAGGGGTAGAAGCAGACTCCCTGCTGAGCAGTGAGCCCGATGTGGGACTCGATCCCTGGACTCCAGGATCATGACCTGAGCCGAAGGCAGTTGCTTAACCAACTGAGCCACCCAGGCGCCCAAGGATATTAATTTTTAAAAAGTATTATCTCTCATGTTACTTGAGATCATTACCACGAGAACCCTAGGAAACAAGATTGCCATTCTTTTTGTATAAATGAGGGAACCAAGAATCAAGACAAGTTAAGTAAATTTCCAAGGCCACTCAAGTGTGAGTAGAAGAACTGGGCTTTAACCCTAGGTCTGTCTCATTCTGAACACTCTACTTTGTCCTCTATTTGTATTGTCTCACACTGAAAAATGTATAAATATATTGCCTTTTATTATTAAACTATTTGTTCATATAGATACAGGAACATTTTTTAACCAGTTATATTTTTTCTACCGGATATTTGATATAAATATAAATGTTATTATTGTAAGTATTATTTGAGGATTCTCAAAAGTTACTGAAAGATTAAGAGAATAATTTAATTATTAATTAATTTGTTCTTATTATAGAGTGATGATGTTAGCAGACCAAAGTATTTCTCCAAAACCAAAGAGTACTTCGCATTCAGAATCAGGTAATAAATAGTGAAACTAATCATTTTCATAATTCTGTATTTCTTTATTTTTGTGACAGTGTAGTATATTTTGAGAAAATTGGTAGCCCAGGAAACTGAGTGCTTTTTAGCTTGGTTGTATTTTAAGAAATGAAGGTATGTGAAGTTAGAATGTGGGTCTTAACTATCCCTCTAACACCCTTCATTAATTCATTTCATAAACATTTACTGAGTGTGTACTCTGTATTAGGCATTACTATATATACCAGTGAGGAGTGATATAAAGTCCTTGCCTCCTAAGTTTCAGTCACGAGAAAGGAAGATAATCAATAAACAGATATATTGGAATTATGTGTGATGATTGAAAATAAAAATAACATAGTACCCTTGCATTATAGACACTCTATAATTTAATTTATTATTAGGATAAACTTAGCTAAACATTTCCAACCTTATTAATCCATGCTGTATCTCAGATTGCTATTTTTATTTCCTGAATCAAATTTTATAGCATCTGTTTTTGGTTAAACTTGAAGAATTGCTGGTTTTGCTCTTAATAGGTATGTTTATATAAACAAAAAAAGGGTTTTTTTTTACATAATCTTCACTTTAAGAAATTCTCTTAATGAGTATTTTGTATATGCCAGGATTTAGGAATTCTGGGTATAAAAATGATTAAAATAGTTGCTATTCTTTTTTTTTTTTTTAGATTTTATTTATTTAGTTGACAGAGAGGGAGAGAGAACACAAGCAGACAGAGCAGCAGGCAGAAGGATAGGGAGAGGCAGGCTCTCTGCAGAGAGTCTAATATGGGCTCAATCCCACGACCCTGGGATCATGACCTGAGCCGAAGGCAGACGCCTAACCAAATGAGCCACCAAAGTGCCCCAGTAGTTGCTGTTCTGAGGGAAATTAATAAAGTGATAAAAACTAAACTTGTAAAAGCACACATCTTTTAAAAGAGTAGCTAGCATCTACTACCCTGGAGGGTGAATATTAGAAGGGGGATTTGTGGGCGCCTGGGTGGCTCAGTTGGTTGAGCGACTGCCTTCGGCTCAGGTCATGATCCTGGAGTCCTGGGATCGAGTCCCGCATCGGGCTCCCTGCTTGGCAGGGAGTCTGCTTCTCCCTCTGACCCTCCTCCCTCTCGTGCTCTCTGTCTCTCTCTCGCAAATAAATAAATAAAATCTTTAAAAAAAAAAAAAGAAGGAGGATTTGTTTTATAGATCTAAGAGTCAGGGCATTTGTGAACAAGAGAAGAGAGATTATGAAAGGGAAAGTGGTAAGGGTACCAAAAACAATCATGATTTTACTTAGGTCTTGCCCAATAAAAAATTTTGCTTTGGCTGTAGAAAATGTTTTTTATAAGGCCTGATAGTAAGGGAGAATAGTGATTCTGGAATTATGTATGCTTTTGTATTCTTACTTTTATGTGGTTGATTGATTGAAATTTAAAATTAAATCACATCTTGCTCAAGTGGTATTTTTTACTTCCTTAATTCAACAAATCTATCTTTGTTCCAATTGTAGGTCAGGTTCTTTACTAAATGTTAGAAAATAGTCTAATCATAGAGGCAAATAAATAAACAAGAAATTACTTCTCAGGTAATTCTGGCTCCTTTGCAATCTTATCTACCACTATTAGTGGTTAAATGTGGGAGTTCTTCAAGGCTAGTTCCTAGATTTTAATCTTTTTAAAATTTACCCCCTGATATGTATAGGTGTCCTATAAAAAACAGGGTTTCCAAGTTTTCTCTCATTAAAGAATCTCCTCTGAGGCTAAGACCCTTATATGCAGCTACCTTCTAAACATCTCCCCTTGGATGTTTCAGAGACACCTCATCATACCATTCATTAATTCCATTCATTCAACAAATATTTATTAATCACCTACAGTGTGACACAAAGTATTTTAGCTGCTGGGGAACATGACAGAGTCCTTGCCCTAAAAGAGCTATGTTATAGTAGAGGAAGAAAGATAATCAACTGTTAAATAAATAAATATACAACAATGTCAGGAATAAGAGTATTGAAGGAAAATAAAGCGGGTAAAAACAGTGTGACTAGGAATGCTATTTTAGACAAGGTAATTGGATAGGCCTCTCTGAGGAGATTACATTTGTATAGAGCTTGAATGAAGTGAGAGAGTGGGTCATATGAAAATCTGTGACAGAGCATGCTGGGCAAAGGGAACAACAAGAGAAAAGACCAGGAGATGGAAATGAGCTCTGCATGTTTGAAGAATAGAAAAGAGGTTAGAGGGGCGCCTGGGTGGCTCAGTCGTTAAGTGTTTGCCTTCGGCTCAGGTCATGATCTCAGGGTCCTGGGATCAAGCCCCACATCGGGCTCCCTGCTCCGCGGGAAGCCTGCTTCTCCCTCTCCCACTCCCCCTGCTTGTGTTCCCTCTCTCACTGCCTCTCTCTGTCAAATAAATAAATAAAATCTTTAAAAAAAAAAAAAAGAAAAGAAAAGTTAGAATGACTGGAGCAAAATGAGTAAAAAAAAAAAAGAATGACTTCAATTGTGTTCAGGGGGTAATCAAATGGTATAATGTAGAGTCTCCTATGCCATCATAAGAAGTAGGGGTTTTATTCTAAATGTGCCAAGAAACACATCTTAGAGCAAAGGGATGACATGATTAGATACATATTTTGAATTATCACTCTGACTACCATGTGGAGAATAGACTAAGATGGCAAGTGAAAGCAAAGAGCCCCTGTTAAACTACTGTGGTGGTCAGATAGTGGTATATGAGATTAAAGTGGGAGCAGTGGTCTGATTTGAAATATATTTTAAAACAGATGTGCCAGGATTTTCTGATGAGGCTGGATGTTGCATAAGAGAGAAAAATAGAAGTCAAGGATGAGTCTAAAATTATTGGTTTAAGCAAGTGGACGAATGATGGTATCATTTCTTGAGATGGGAATACTGGAGGACAGAGCAAGTTGGAAGACTAAGAGAATTTGGTTTCAGCATTAAATTTGATCTGTCTAGGGGCACCTGGGTGGCTCAGTCGTTAAGCGTCTGCCTTCGGCTTAGGTCATGATCCCAGGATCCTGGGATCGAGCCCTGCATCGGGTTCCCTGCTCAGCGGGAAGCCTGCTTCTCCCTCTCCCACTCCCCCTGCTTGTGTTCCCTCTCTCGCTGTCTCTCTCTCTCTGTCAAGTAAATAAATAAAAGCTTAAAAGAAATTTGATTTGTCTACTCATGTACTTAATGTTTCATGAAATAATGCAGACACAAACATGTATGTATTGTATAATTCTGTATATATGAAGTTCAAGAACAGGCAAGAGTGTTTTAGGTAGTAGAAGTAAAAATAGTGGTAATCTTTGGAATGGGAGTCCTGACTGGGAAAGAACATATAGGAAACTTCTGGGTTGTTGGAAATATTTTATGTCTTGATTTGGGTGGTGACTATATAGGTGAATACATATACATTTAAGATTTGTGCCCATTACTGTGTATGTGGAGTGCTTCAATAAAATATTAAAACATTGAAAGACTTATTAGCCTTCAAATAGAGATGTCATTAAAGCAGTTTGTGACATAGGAGTCTGGAGTTTAGGGCAGAGACGAGCTGTAAATAAATATCTAGAGTCAAGAATATAGATGAGATCACCTAGGAAGTGGAATAGAAAACAAACATGCAAAATGAACGTAAATGGAACACTCCAACATTTAGAAGTAACTGTAACATAAGTTACCTAGAGATTAAATAAAGCGAGCATTGAGAACTGAGAATTGTCACGACCAAGACCTAACCTGGTCTTCTACCAGTGTCCTCCATCTTAGTTAGCAAATGTAGCTTAGCATACCAGAAGCATGGGATCATCCTTGACACCTTCCTGTTTGTCACTTCCTTTGCTTAATCTATTACCAAATCTTGGTACCAATTTCATTTCTTACTAAACTCTCAAATCTACTACTTCCTTCTACCTCAGGAGATGAAGATAAGTGGAGTGAGTAGTCTCAAGGGTTGTCAGATTTAGCAAATAAAGATACAGAATGCTCAGTTAAATTTGAATTCAGATAAACAGCGAAAAAATTTTAATATAATTATGTCATAAATATTGCATATGCTTGTACTATTACACAGCAAACACACTAAAAAATTATTTGTTTATCTGAAATTCAAATTTAAGTAGGTATCCTGTATTATATCTAGAAACCTTTTAGCCTTTGCAGTGAGGCTGGGAATATAGAAGTATATAGGCAGAGATCATAAAAACCAGGATTTTGTATGCTGAGTTAAGAAGCTTGAGTTTTAACTTGAATACAGTGGAAAACCTTGGAAGAGTTTTAAGCAGATGATATTAAACTTGTGTTTTAGATATATTATGTGGGCAGTGGACTGCAGATGGAGCTGAATTGAAAAGCTATTGAAATAATTCAAAGGGAAATCTCGTGTTGACTTAAAACAAGGTAGTAGTGTTAAGAATAAAGAAAAGCCAAATTTGCAATACTTATAGTAGTAACATTGCCACATAGCAGACTAGATATTTGTTGTCTTGGATTGAGCCTGGAGAGTGAAAAAAAGAGGAGTCAGGACTGAAGAGGAGTCATAAAAGGGGCCAGAGGGAAAATGTTCATGTTTGTTGTACTGATGTCCAATAAGGTAGGACAGAAAAGGTTTCTGTTCATAAAGGTAGGACCTGAAACTAGATTGCTGTGGGCTTGGGAGTAAACAGGAGGAGAGGAAGTTATGTTAGTATATGTGGACAGCTCTTTGAAGAAACATGCCTATGGAGAAAAGGAAAGAAAAGATGTAGCAGGAAGGAGTATGGGGTACAGATAAAGTTTTTGGTAAGATGAAAGAGTCCTGTATATTTTAAATGCTAATAGAAAATTTGCAGTAAAAAGAGAGAGCCTGAAAATACAGGAGAGTGAAAATGGAAGGAAAATTAATGAAGAATTTTAATCACATGCAACCTTCTGTACTAAATGAAAAGTAAGTATTTTACATAGAGCTTATTTACTCATGTGAAACCTAGAGCTCTTAAAATAAAACTCTATCAGCAGTAAGTCAGGTTATTCAACATATGTTAAGCTTTTCTTTTAAAACTATTTCAAAGACAGCCCTTAAAATTAGGGTGTTTTTTTTTTTTTTCCAAATTTGAATTCTACTTTCTGTACTTACAGTTAACGAGATGTTAAATAATTAAAATATTGAAGCATCTTTTTCTTTACAGATAATACAGCTTGTGAAGTTTTACTTGCTGAGAAAACTTACCCTTCAGCCCCTGAAAAAACAAAGAAAAAAGCAAGTGTTGAAGCAGAAAAACTATATAAATCATAAATTTCATTAATATAGAACATATTCTTAACCAACAGTTTTATAGGAATTACTTTTCAGCTATTTAAGTAAATAATTTCAAACAGTTTTTAAACTTAGTAATTAATTACATTACTGTTATATGAATATATACTCTATATAAGTTTAATGAAAGAGAATTAAAGTTTACAGTTTTTCCAAATTCCTTTTGGATAATTGGATGTCTATTAAAAATTAATTTAAGGTAAAAATAAGACATTTGCTGTGTAGCCAGAGCAGTGATTTCTGCTGAGGAGTATTTGTGAATTAGTACATTAGGCCCAGAATCTAGAGGTCTTTGGGGAGAAATTTGAGGTTTATTTTGTATGTAACAGGAGCCACTCTTTGAGTGACTATTCAATGCTAAGCATTATTCTAAGCACTTTTTACAAATTATATCTTTTCCTTATAGCATTCCTACCAGGTGAGTTTTTTGTTTGTTTTGTTTTGTTTTCACCTATTTTATAGCTAAGAAAAATGAGGTTTAGATATTAATTAGTGTGTTTGGGGAGTTTGTGGCAGGTCTTTCTGGATCTTACATCTGTATTCTTTCCACTACACTTTACTGTCATTGTATACATTGGGAAAAAAAAAAATTGAAAAAGGGCAAGGGTCTCAATAGGAAGATTCCTTAGTATGAAGTTATAGATATTGTAGGTGCAAGATTGTGGTGGCCTTGACAAGGATACTTTGTAGGAGAGATGGGAAATATGCATGGATTTGAGATAATTTTGCCTGTAGAGTTCTTGAATTGGAGATAGAAGATGAAGGAGTGAGGTGTCAAAAAAGACTTCTAGGTTTTTGTCTTAAGCGGTTTTGGCGGCTAAAGGTGCTATTTAGTGTGATAGGAGAGGCGGGAGGTCTGAGCGTACATGAAAATGAAAAATTTGTAAGGACCATTGGCTATAAATATACAGTTTAGGAAAGCAGAAGATAAGTATACAGTGTTCTAGATATTTTTAAGTTTATAGAAATAGATAAAGCACCTGAGAAAGAATGAGTTTCTACAGAGTGAGGAAAAGAAAAGGGTCCAGGATCATTCCTTGGAATACTCTACAGTCAGGTAGAAAAGAGTGGACAGAGAAAAGGAGGAAAATGAACAGAATATGGTATCATAGAAGCCAAGAGACAAGAATATTTACTCCTAAAAGGGGGAGTGGTTAACAATCTTGAATGTTGCTTGGAATCCCGTTATAAAGAACTTTGCAAAATTGGAGGACTTCCAGTTTCTGGTCTAGCACGTAAGGAACTTAGAAGTCACCACTCTGGTCTAACAAGTAAAAGCCTGAACAAAGGGGCGCCTGGGTGATGCAGTCAGTTGAGTGTCCGACTTTTTGTTTTTGCTTGGGTGGTGATCTTGGGATCATGGGATTGGGCCCTGAGTTGGGCTCTGGGCTCTGTGCAGGGTCTGCTTGAGACTCTCTCTCCCTCTCCTCCCCCCCCACCCCATGCTCTCTCTCTCTCTCTCTAAAACAAATGTATAAATCTTTAAAAAAAAAGAAAACCTGAACAAAGTTAAAAATCAACAAGTCTTTTTAGATATGTCAGATAAATAATATCATAGGCCAAAGTGCTGCACTAATATTTGGAAAGATAGACAGGTGGATACAGAAAATCATGACTTATCAGAGCAAAAACACTTGAACAGAAATCTCCCAGAGAACCAGTGCTGGGATGGAAAAACCAGAGCTGGTGTGATTGATAAATTGCTAGAGGCTCAGTGAGAACAATGCTGAGAGTTAAAAACTCAAGAGGGACACAGTCATCAGGGGGCCTCGACACTTTTTTGAGTTTTATCTTTAGGAAGGACCTCTATCAGATCCTCACAGTCAATATCTGAGAAAAATCCCCTCATGCTTTTGGTAATGGGAAGAGGAAAAGAACCATCTTGAAATATACTAGAGTATTCTGTTCTTAACAAAACCTTCCCTCAGAAGAATATATGTTACCAGCGCCTAACTTGGGGTTTTAGTAGAGCCTGACCTACCTTGGGGAAGGGGAATACCCAACTTCAGCCAGGTCTGCTTTTTCAAATGAGGAAAGGAAAATACTCCAATTCCAGCTCTCTCTAGCCTTCCACACGGAAGAATGGAAATATCCAGATACAGCTCTCTCTACCTGTCCTGTCTCACCTAAGGAGGTGTGGGGATTAAGAAATATTGGTGAATTTTACCCTCCAGGGGTAAAGGCTCAACAAAAAAGACCTAATCATAGCACTATGACTTAAACCTTGCCACTACATTACTAAAGGCCTATCCACCACAGTTCCCATTACCCAGTATATCCTGTCTACCTTTTAGCAAAAAATTACAAGGCTTATTAAAAGGCAAACAAAACAAAACAAAACAACACAATTTGAAGAGACTGAATAGACATCAGGACCAGAGTCAGATATGGCAGTAGTATTAGAATGATCAGACCAGAATTTTAAATAACTATGATTAATATGCCCAGGGCGTTATAGGAAAAAAGAGACAGCATGAAAGAACAGATGAATAATATAAACAGAATGATGGAAATTCTAAGAAAGATCAAAAAAGAAATGCTAGAAATAAAAAATACTATAGCAAGAACGAAGAATGCTTTTGATGGACTCATTAGTAGACTGGACATAGTGAAGAAAGAATGCCTGAGTTTGAGGATATGGCAGTAGAAGCTTCCAAAAAAAAAAAGAGAAAAAAGACTGAAAAAAAGAACAGAATATTCAAGAACTGTGGGACAACTACAAAAGGTGTGACATACACATAATTGGGATTCCAGAAAGAGAAGATACAGAGAAAGGCACAAAACAATATATGAAGCAATAGTGACTGATAATTTCCCAAAATTAATGTCAGATACCAAATCATAGATTCAGGAAGTTCAAAGAACACCAAGCAAGATAAATGCCCTCAAAACTACACCTAGATTTATCATATTCAAACATCTTGAAAGAAAGAAAAAAATATTGAAAGAAGCCAGAGGGAAAAAACACCTTGCCTATAGAAGAGCAAAGAAGCGCAAAAGAACAAAGAACAAAGAATTACAGATCTCTCCTTAGAAACTATCATGCAAAAAAGAGTGAAGTGAAATATTTAAAGTCCTGAGAGAAAAAACCCACCAACCTAGAATTCTATGCCTCATGAAGCTACATTTCAAAAATGAAGGAGAATTAAAGACTTTCTCAGACAAAGAAAAATTATAATTTGTTGCCAGTAGGCCTACCTTGTAAGAAATATTAAAGGAAGTTCTTCAGGGAAAAGGAAAATAATGTAGCAGTATAGTTTTAACTATCTTAATAAATGTAACATTATGGTGCAGTATGTAAAATAAGGGAGATTGTATATGTAGGGTCAAGGGCTATATGGGAACTCTGTATATTCTGCTCAGTTTTGCTGTGAACCTCAAACTTGTCTCTAAAAAATTAATTTTTAAAAAGTCAGTTACATTCAGAATCAAGAAGGAAACTGATGACTTTAGCAAGAATAATTTTAGTGGACTGATGAGAGGCAAGCCAGATTGGAATAGGTTGAAAAGAAGGAAATATAAAAAGAAGTAAATTGGGTCACCAACGACATGAAACATATGTAGGGGTGAGGAGTAAACGTGTAGAACATTTTTATGCAGTTGCCCGTTATAACTATTATGAAAGCCCTATGGCAATCCAGGCACAAGTCTTTAAGAGACACACAAATGGTAAAGAGAAAAAAATCAAAGCATACCCCTATAAAAAATAGAATCGTCAATTCACAAAGAAAGAGAGCAAGAGAGGAAGATAAGAACAAAGGAAGTACAGAACAATCAGAAAGCAATTAACAAAATGATGATAGTCCTTACTATCAATAAGTTCTTATCTATCAAGAATTACTTTAAATGTAAATGATTTAAATTCGCCATTTAAAAGACATAAAGTGGGGGAATAAAAAAAATAGCCCAACTATATGCTGCCTAGAAGAGATTCACTTAAGCTTTTCTTTCTTTCTTTCTTTCTCTTTCTTTCTTTTCTTTCTTTCTTTCTTTCTTTCTTTCTTTCTTTCTTTCTTTCTTTCTTTCTTTCTTTCTCTTTCTTTCTTTTCTTTCTTTCTTTCTTTCTTTCTTTCTTTCTTTCTTTCTTTCTTTCTTTCTTTCTTTCTTCCTTCCTTCCTTCCTTCCTTCCTTCCTTCCTTCCTTCCTTCCTTCCTTCCTCCCTCCCTCCCTCCCTCCCTCCCTCCCTCCCTCCCTCTCTCCCTCCCTTCCTTCCTTCCTTTCAAGTAGGAGGCTTGAATTCATGACCCTGAGATCAAGAGTCAGACACTTAACCAACTGAGCCACCCAGATTTGCCTAAGGTTTAAAGACAATTAGGGTGAAAGTGAAGAGATGGAAAAAATTATTCCATGGAAGTGAAAACTAGAAGAGATCAGGAGTAGTTATACCAGACAAAATAGATTTTAAGTTTTTTAAAAGCTATAATAAGAGACAATGTTGTTACATAATGATAAAGGGGTCAATTCATCAAGAGGATATAATGGTTGTAAATGTATAAACATCCAATATTGAAGGACCTAAATATATTAAATAATCATTAACAGGTCTGAATGCAGAAATAGACAACAATGCAATAGTAGTAGGATACTTCAATACCCTACTATTCAACAATGAATAGATCATCCAGACAGAAAATCACTGAGGAAATAATGGATTTGAACAACACTTTAGACCAAATGGACCTAACAGACTTATACAGAATATTTCATTCAACAACAGTAGAATCCACATTCTTGTCAGTGCACATGGAACAGGCTCCAGGATAGATCACATGTTGCATCACAAAACAAGTCTTAACAAACATAAGAAGATTGAAATGATATCAGGTATCTTTTCTGACATATTGGTATGACATTAGAAATTTATAATAGAAAGAAAGGGGAAAATTCACACATATGTGAAAATTAAACAACACATTTGTGAATAGCTAATGAGTCAAAGAAGAAATCAAAAGATATCAAAAAATATCTTGAGAGAAATAAAAATGGAAACACAACATACCAAAACTTATGGGATGCTGCTAAAGTAACCCTAAGACAGAACTTTATTGTGATAAATACTTACATTAAGAAAGAATTAAGATCTCAAACATGCAACCTAACCTTATACCACAAGGAACTAGAAAAAGAATATAGTCCAAAACAGAAGGAAGAAAATAAAAATAAGAGAAGAAATGAATGAAATAGATATTAGAAAGACAATAGGAATCATCAACAAAACTAAGACTTGGTTTTATTAAAAGATAAACAATTGAAAAACTTTTGTCTCATCTAAGAAAAAAAGAAAGGTGACTCATTAATAAAATTATCAATGAAAGATGAGACATTACAGTTCATACCACAGAAATACAAAGGAACATAACAGACTACTATGAATAATTATACACCAACAAATTGGATAATTTAGAAGATATGGATAAA